CAATTTTGGTCGAGTCGTCCAAAATCCCCTATTGGTTAACGAGGTGTCCTAGGAACTGGAGCCGTCGTAACCAAAACCCACACTTCGAGAACTTGGCATAAAGCCGTTCTCTCCTCAAAACTCCTAATAACTCCAATAAGAGCTCCTGATGCTGCTCTCAAGTCTTGGAATATACCAAGATATCATCTATAAACACGATGACCGAGCGATCAAGCATCAGTATGCAGACCCGATTCATTAGGTCCATAAAGACTGGTAGCGTGTTGGTGAGCCCAAACGGCATCACCACAAACTCATAATGTCCATAACGAGTTCGGAACATGGTCTTCTCCACATCCTCCTCTCTAACCATGACCTGATGGTACCCTGACCTTAGGTCTATCTTGGAGAACCAAGATGCTACTTGCAACTGATCAAAGAGATCATATATCCTCTGGAGTGGATAACGGTTCTTCACCGTCAGCTTGTTCAGTTCCTGGTAATCAATACACATCCGGTGCGAACCATCCTTCTTCCTGACGAAGAGTATCGGCGCTCCTCACGAGGAACTGCTCGGACGAATGAACTGCTTGCCTAGCAGTTCCTGCAGCTGTGATGACAGCTCTTGCATCTCCGGTGGCGCCATTTAGTATGGTGCCCTGGCGATAGGGGCCGCACGTGGCACCAGGACGATGCGAAACTCGACCTGCCTCTCTGGATGTATTCCTAGTAACTCCTCTAGAAACACATCCACGAACCCCCTTACCACTGGAACCTCCGAGACTAAAATTTGATCCCTGACTTGCATATCCACCACATACGATAGACTGAAATATATTTCCTTTCCAATTTTCTTAGTTTAGAGAGGATTTAAGAATTCCATCAATGTCTTCTCCATGATATTCTTATGATAAATCAAGTTGAAAAATTCATAAGAACTAACGAAAGATCCAAGCATAAGATCTATAACAAGACTCTTGTGAAGGGTAACATTGAGATTATTGAGATTGTCTATGTAGTTCTCATTGATTACGTACAAAACTCTTTTCTTAAATTTGAATGTAATTAGGAACTTTTGACGATTTTCAAATCACTCTTATCTTGTCTTTTGGTGAAACATGTCACTCAATTGTAAATTCATTTCATATGTTCACATGTTCACAAAAAATCATTTGGAACATCGATGACATAGACATAATGATGCAAGAGACATTTTTGACAAATATACACGATTATCTGAATACCAACTTCTTCATGGACATCTTTCCTAATAACAAAATCGAGGAAGATTACATAGCAAATGAGTTATTCTCGATAGAAAACAAAGAGGAGCTGAAATTTGAAAGTGTGATAGGAGGTGGAAAAGGATTTCCATCTAACCCAAGAGAAAAAGTTTAAATACCTAGATTCAATCCTTAATCATTAACTCAATTTTAAATTAAGGCTAAGATCCAAATATATTATTTGTAATATGAAGAGGGGTGTCGTAATCACATTATAAATCTATATTAGGTAGGTAAAGCACTTTAAAAATTTCAATCACAATGAAGCTCCTAAATCTATTAGGACTCACTGAACTATCAATGACGTGTTAATCTTGGATTATGCTCTTCAATTTGTGTCTGCGATGCCAATGATCACAAATAAGATGTGATTAGCCATGCAAACCCGCACGACATTCTCGAGGTAATTTAGGATCTCACATTGACGTGTAGGTTAACCCTATACGCTCCATTAATAATATATATATCAAGTATGTGCCATCATTTCAACTTTGTAGTATCAAATTAGTGTGTTGGTTAACTACACATGCTCCAATAAAGACCCATAAAGAAAAAAATGTGTGTTTTCATGGATTAGCATACAATTTCATATTTTTCCTAAGTAACTTGTGTTAAGGGTCAAATATAAAGGTATGATTAATCAGTCTGGTCAAAACAATGGTGGGAACTCAACAAGGGGTAAAAATGTAATTGAAAAAAATGTATTTGTCCTTAGGCTATACATATTTCTAGTTCTTGTAAGAATGAAGACCGGATGGTGAAGCCAGTAAATGATGACCATAAATGCTTACACAGAAGAGTAATTAAAGCTTGTACTTTTAAATTCTTAGCTAACAATATCTTTTAGCAAATTCAATCGAACCACGACTTTCGATGAAAGCCTTACACAAAGAAATGTCCAAAAGCTAATACAATTTGTTCAATGCTTACAACAAGGTTTAACATTAAAACAAAAAAAACCATGAACCAAATAAGAGCAACTTTATCTTTAAAAATTCAAACTCTAGGAATCTTTGTTGTATATTGGAGTATATTCGCGGCTCTAAGCAAACCTCGAATCACCACCACTGCCCGGGTACATCGAAGGGTCTACACATGAACCCACAACTCCTACCAAATCGCAAATAGTTCCAAATATTCGTACCAGGGTTAAGATTGGTACATTATATCTGATATGAATGCGAAAGGTTGCCTTCTATGTTCCAAGCCGATTTTAGATCCTGATTGCGAAAGTGATGTTGAGTACGAAAGGGGTCTAGATTGCGACTGGATACAAACCGATGTGAATGGTCGCAATGAATCACAGTTCAGTGCATTTGGATGCGAATGAAGTACAATCGAATGCGAACGGATGCGAAGGACTTACCTGATGTGAATGCGAACCATTTTGGTAGGACAAGTTGCGAGGCTCAGAACAAATCTAGTTGCGAACGAGTTGGATGCGAACAATTTGTTGTTGGGTGTGAAAGCTGGTTGGGCATTGTTTTTAACACGAAGATATTTGAATGGTTAATCGCATGGATAATCTATAAGACTCTATTCTATTTTTAGAACAATTTGATTTGATTTGATTTTACGTTCATTTTTTTAAACATTGGTAAGGCTATAAATAGCCCCTTTAAGCATTGTAATCGATATAGATTGTTGAATGAAATTGCATTTTCAGAACTTTGTTTTTTTGAGTTGCATACTCTCCCGTTTTTCAAGTCTAGGACGTCTACTCTAGTTTGATACAAATTCAAATCAATAGGTCACAATTTGTTTTCGTTGATACTCAATCTACAACTCTAGATTGTTTATCACATCTATCTTGTTCTTATTTTCTTGTTCTTGTTTCTTAAATTTCGCTACATTCTTATAATCAAAAAATTCAAAAAGAAGTTAAGCCCTCATATACGCATCAATTTCACTTTGATCGCTACACCTCCACATAAAAAAATCGCTATTTTCTTGATTTCTTCATATGGGAACCAACATTCGTGAAGAGGGGAAGAAGGGAAGAATGGAGTGTTGAAAAATGTAGATGTTATAAGCTTATAAGTAGTGATCGATAAAAGTGAAATGACCAAGTTGCCATGGCCTGAGATGCACGTGATTTCACTTAACAACTTAAATGTGACATGGTGATCCAAACGAGCACTCTATAAAAAGTTTTCAAACTAGTGGGACTATCCTTGACCTGAAGACAAAAACAGTGAGAGACCAAACTTGATATTATGGGATACCACTGGGACCATTTATGAAGATTTGTTTGAATTCAACTTTTCTGCTATTAAGAAACCAAAATATATGCATAGTGATTGTATTACTCAAACCTTCTTTCCAGTGAACACATATTTTGATCAATATGTACAAAGAATATTGAATACTAAGTGATTCTTGACGTAAGAGTTCATGTACTACTTCCAATGATTCATATCACTCTTCTCAAAATGTTTTTTTGTTAGAAATTCTTCTTTTATTATTTTGCTAAACAAATACCGCTTCAATTCCTAAATCAAAAGCTATAACTCTGAGATAATTCAATATCTTCTCAAACCCATGCCTTCGGTAATGACGTAGATATCTAAATATTTTTATATTGGTATTCAAATTCTAATTGACATTAAAAATATATTTAACAAACCTAATTTTTATTTTTAATAAAACATGAATTTAATTACTACTATACAACTATCCTTATAATATTTTTTTTTTCTGAGTTTTTAGTAACCCTGTATTAAAGGAGATCTTCCAGCAAAGGCCTATTAGAGGTTTCTTAAGACCACACTACTTAGAGCATCTCCAACCCACTGCTACTTTTAATTTTTTTTCCAAATTCCTCTCCAACCCTAAACCATTTATTCATCCATTTTGAGAGAAATGAATATTATAAACACCAAAATACGGTGTTACACTATTCATTCCTCATAAAATAGAGATGAACTTTGAGTTATCGGTTTTAGTCCTTCTTTTTATATATTTATACATTGCTAGTTTATTCTTATATAATAATTATAATTTAAATGTAATATTTATTACTTATGATATTTGGTTATATTTAATTAATTATAAATATAATTTTTTTTGTTTATCAAATTCATATAAAACTTTTAATATATATTGAAATTTTAAAACACTATAACATATTTTATAAAAGCTTATAATTAAATGCTATAAATATAATCTTATTTATTTTACATTATTAATGATAAAGTATAAATTATATATCGTTAAAACCAAATTAATAAAAGAAGTGTGTTTGACAATTTATATAAGTTGGAAGAATGAAATATATTAGAAATATATATATATATATATATATATTCTTGGAGGTAAAAATAGAATAAAAGTTAAAGTAGATCAGAGATAAATACAATTTATCCTGTTTTTTTACTCTAATTTTTGGGGAAAGAATGAAAATGGACTAGAAATGTACACTAACATATAAATAAGTTTTAAAGTAATAAATTGCATTGAATGATTATTTATCTTTGATTACATGCTATTACATACTTATAAAAAAAAACCCAAGGAACTCATCTCTTTATTCATTATTCACAATGTTCAAGGTCTATAATTCTTAAAAATATCAACATCAATGTTCGTATATTTTTTCAAAGATGGAAAATGGATATTCAGAAAAATATAATATAATTTTGTTTGTATAAATACAAGTCAAAATTATATCAATATCGTCTGAATCTGGATACCATGACCTTGAAAAAGCCATACTTTTATTCAATTTCACAAGTGAATTTACTTCCATGAAGATGACAATGTTGGGATACTTTGCTCATTCCTAAAGAAATTGCTAGGATCAACCCTCGTCTTCACCATCGTCAGCCTCTTATAATTCGTCTCTTTGAAATACTTGTGCCCATAAACCATTCCTTCAACGTAAGCATTCTTGCCATGGCTGTTGACACCAATGTCTAAATCCCTGTAGTTCAGAAATGCTTCCCTGGGGTTCTTAGAAACAAACGGAGTCATATAATCATACATCACCCTTGTGAAGTTCAAGTACCGATTGGCTGCTTCAACGCCAAGTTCATCCCAGTTTACTTCGTATTGGATCTTCGCTATATTCCCTGATCGATGGGGAAAAGGCTTTGCAAATTCGGAAATTTCACTCATTCTTCCACCATAAGGGTTGAAAGCCAACATTTGGTTTTCGAGTTCTTTCATCTTTTCAAATATGGATTCGAATCCCTGTTTGGAAATAGTGTTTTTTTACGTAATCAGATTTGATCTTGAATGGGTTTAGTCTTTGAGGTGTACGGCTTAGAAGAGCAGTGGTCGAAGTACCAATGGGGAAGTTTGTGTAGAAAAGCACAGACTCGATCCAACTCATTTCAATACAGTCTGAAATTTCTACACCTAATTCTGGGAAATCCTTGTTCAGGAGGCTAACAAGAACAGTAGAGTTTCCGAGGTACAGTGTTGGAAACAAACCACGTATCGTCTTTTCGCCATTTGTGTTGTTTATCACGTTAAAGGTCATTCGAAGGAAAAGGTCATTATCGAGCTTATCCGCAACTTGTATCCATCGGTGAGCTATGGTGCTTAGGTTCTGCTCCGATGTTCTTTGTACGTTAAAAACGGTCACAGTGGTAGGAACACGAACCAGTTTGATCTTGTACGCTACAACCACACCAAAGCTGACACCACCACCACCTGTGATGGCCCAAAAAAGATCTTCACCCATGGATTTCCGATTCAGAAGTTTACCATTCACATCGATTAACTGAGCATCAACAACATTATCTACGGTAAGACCGTATTTTCTCATCAGGTTACCATATCCACCACCACTAATATGGCCACCAACTCCAACAGTAGGGCAAACGCCAGCCGGAAAAGCATGGCTGTTGCTTTTCTCGGCTATTCGGTAGTAGACTTCACCAAGAGTCGCACCAGCTTGGACCCATGCAGTTTCATCTTCAATACTCACGTTTATGGAGCGTAAGTTGAACATGTCAACAACGAAAAAGGGTTGGTTCGAATTGGTCACATAGGAAAGCCCCTCATAATCATGGCCTCCGCTTCTGGTTTTCATTAGCAGGCGGTGTGTTTTGGCGCACACAACAGCTGCTTGAATGTGTGAAGGGTGTAAGGCGGTGATGATTAAGATGGGTTTGGGAGTCGTGGATTCATTGAATCGAAGGTTGCGGATGTAAGCTTGCAAGACGGATGGAAAGGAGGAGTTATCGGGAGTGTAAAGTTGTCCATTGAGCGGGAAAGAAGGGTCAGCTCGGTTGTTTAGACATTGGGTGAATCGATCTGTAATGGAAGTTGAAGTTGCTGATGAATGCGTAGAGAGCAAGACAAGGAGGAGAGGAAAAATATATGATTTGAAGTTGAAAGAATACGTAATTGCCATTTTTGTGATATGGAATGCATGGTGTTTGACATGCAATTTATAAACAAACCAATGTAAACCTCCTAATCTGGCCTACTTAATTAAGCTCCCGCCAAAGTTTAATAGTCGATCGATGTAGAAAAACTATTCTTTACCTTTGAATAATTCTTTTTGCATACCTATACACGCATAAGAAATCATAATACCAACTCCAGAAGTTTTTGAAAATTAGAGGCGATCTTGTGATGCCACGTTGAAATTACTATTAAATCAAAGAGTCCGGCTTCCGGAAATCTAAATGTGGATAACTCAATAAAATATAGTTTGAACACTAGTCATTCATTCGTCCAGCAAAGAAAGTCACATGGAATTACGGAAAAGGTTAAATTGTTTCCGGATTACATGAAACTATATATGGAACCATATTATTGAATCTTCAGCAATGAAAGTCAAAGAGAATTACAACGTTGAATTGTGTATAGAATTACATGAAACTATAAATGGAGCCATAGGAATTACAAAGTTGAATTGTTACCAAATTACACAATGACTTCAATAAACGAGTTGGCGAGTTGAAAACTCAACTCAAACCGATTTATTTCGTATTGTGTCGCGGATCGTGTTGAAATTATCAGTCCTATGAAACGATATACATTCCAGGAAGAACTAAATTGTTAGCGAATCACATTAAACCATATTATTGAATACTTAAAATGAAAAATTTTCATACATTTTTCTATTGATTATGTTTTTTTTTAGTCCACTAACTTTGAGTTAAAACTCTTTGTATTTGGTAAACCAATTTTAAATGATTGTGATGAAGATTGTATGGAAAAACTTTGTTAATGTCTTTGTATATTGGTGATCGACTAAGTACATTTTAGGCTCAAAACGTTAGAGCACCTACTAAACTATAATAATTTTATATTTATGACATTAAATTAATAATGAATGAACTAATTTAGCTTATACGTAAAAATTGTCATCTTAATGAATAACAGAGAGCATATTATATACACGAATGGTCCTTATGATTTCGATTATTTGCACGTTTAGTCCTTAATCACTAAAAGTGTTAAAATGGTTAAAGTTGAGGTTCTTTAAAAGCTTAAAATGTTCTTAGAAAATGAAAAAGTGTTGATTGTAATGAACAAAAGTGTCAAAATGGCTAAAGTTGAGGTTCTTTAAAGTTTCGTGGTCAAACTTTGAAGATTAAAATATTCCTAAAAAATAAAAAAATATTAATTGTAATGACCAAAAGTGTCAAAATGGTTAAAATTGAGGGGCAAAGTTGACAAAAAAACATGCAAATTTACTATTAACGTGACTAATGCAAAGAAACAAAAGTAAGATGTCAAAAGTCTAAGAAAGAAAAAGTTTGATCGTGAAAATCTGAAAAACTAACAATATACTATTCTTAAAGAAACTCTTTTTTAATATAATATAAAATCGACTTTTTTAGTTTATACTTAAACGTTCTCATCTTAATAAACAATAGATATTATATTATATATACGAATTGTCCCTATGGTTTCTTTTATTTGTATGTTTAGTCCTTAAATTTTTTTTGTAAACTTGAACGGTCATTTTTATACGCTTTTGTTATGTATTTAGTCCTTAAACAAATTAAAATGACTATATAACCCTTATTATTATTTTTTTATTTTTCTTTTCAATTTTAGTATTTATTAATTTTTTATTATTACAAAATTCAGAATGTACAATATTCTTATGCTAAAGTACAATACTCCCTTTCTAACATAAATAAGACCTACACATAATTGATAATTCATCTGTCTATGGTATCATGCTCATGTGAAACAGAAATGGTGAACTACTCTACCTCTCTCTACTCTTTTCTCCGATGGCATTGTACCAAATTGTTGGAGACATTGCCATTGCGTTGTTGACAAGCCTCATTGGCATATGTCGATGTCCAAAGGTACCATTTCTCACCAGAAAGCTCGTTTCCTCTCTCTCTCTCTCTCTCTCTCTCTCTCTTTCTCTCTTCCGTTTCCCTATTAAAAAGTATTGGTACCATCCAACATCTCTATTGATGTTGGGTCATGCTGTCAACCTCTCCCTTAAACTTTTGGCATGTACCGTCCTGTGATAACCCGAAATTTCTATCTTATAAAGCCAATGAATTCAATCAAAAGTCAGACTCATTTTTACTATTTTTTAGCATTGTTAAGGGTCTGTTTGAGTGTTCTAAACCAAGTACATTCAAGGATTGTGTGTTAGAATGTGTTAACCTAAGTTCATTAAGTTGTAATCGAGCCGGAAGCTCCATCAAAAGGAGTTCACGGCCGCAAACTAGGGTTTACGGCCATAAACACATGTTGGCTATGAACCCCTCTCCATAAGTATGATTTTCCTTCATTATTCCGTCATTTGTCTCATCTTCAAGTCAAGAACACTCAAAACTCTCTCAAGTATCATCAAGAACACACTCATTTCTCTTCAAAATGGTAAGTGTTTATTCCATTATTGCTTTATATCCTTCTTATTCATGGGAAGCTCTTTGGTTTCATCCATGAATTCAACACTTTTGGTGTAGATCTTCAAATCATCATCTTTTCGCCAAGAACACATACTTGTTCTTAGGGCCGAAAACACCTTCAAGACTCCCATTAAGTAAGTATCTTTTCCACATACTTGTTATCCATTAGAATCACTTGATTTGCGGCCTTGAATCAAGCACATTTCCATGATCTTTAAGAGTTCACGACCGTGAACCCTTCATGTGGCCGTGAACCCTTCATAAATTGCTAGTTATGGCCGTAAACCCTTCATAAACCCAAGAAAAGACCTCAAACACTTCATAGAATCAAGTTTGGGCCGTGAACACATCATGTGTTCTTGACCGTAAACTCTACTATTGTCGTGAACACACTTTGTGTGGTCGTGAACACTCCTTGGCCGTGAACACATCCTTATGTGGTCGTAAACTCCATTCAATCAATCACACATGATAGCAACAATTCATTTTAAGTGTTTGCGAGTAGCTAAGGTTGTTCCCTTATGTGATTTGTTGTCATATAAACTAATTATATATATATATGTGTCATTATATGTTTAATAGGACCCGTTGGTACTCGAGACTTCACTTGGCATACTTACCATCCTATATGGATCTTCATTCGAATCACCCACTACTGGTGAGTTCATACCCCTACAATCAACCATTTACATGTTTTAAATGCTTTTTACGGGGGGGGGGGGGGGGGGGATACAAGTTGAAACACAACATAATTTTGTTGTTCCTACATTTTATTAGTTACAAACAAAAATAACTTTTACTGTTTCGAAATCCTTTTAAACGTCATATCAAAACCCTTTTACAAATTACTTATAAACTCTTTTAATTCAAAATCATGTTCATTTAAATATTTGTGTATAAATATACTTTAATGGATATAGGACTAGTGTTAATGACCTTAATTCATGTTCCTTGTTTGGTTGTAGGCTTAGGGTAGTATTCTCTAGTCCGACTATAGATTAACTTATGATTATACATACTAAATACTCATATGAAAATTAAGCCCCTTTCTCAATGTATAACTTAACATGATGGTTTATGTTTAAAAATTGAGTTCATACCCCTACAATCAACCATTTACATGTTTTAAATTCTTTTTAGGGGGAGAGGGGGGGGGGGATACAAGTTGAAACACAATAGAATTTTGTTGTTCCTACATTTTATTACTTACAAACAAAAATGAATTTTACTGTTTCGAAATCCTTTTAAACTTCATATAAAAAACCCTTTTACAAATTACTTATAAACTCTTTTAATTCAAAATCATGTTCATATAAATATACTTTAATGGACATAGGACTAGTGTTAATGACCTTGACTCATGTTCCTTGTTTGGATGTAGGCTTAGTGTAGTATTCTCTAGTCCGGCTATCGATTAACTTATAATTATACATACTAAATACTCATATGAAAATTAAGCCCTTTTCTCAATGTATTACTTAACATGATGGTTTATGTTTAACAGTTGAGTCCTTTCAACAAGCCAGTTATACAATAGACATACTAGTAAACTATAATAGGTATAGTTTAGAGGACATACATATACAATTACAAGAAGTAACACTATACATATAAATTTACAAAATGAACATTACATATACAAAAGGAACAT